ACTAAACCAAAGCTAAGAAGTTTCCTGAATACAATCAAACACTTTGAGGGACAGAGTAGCAGGGGTAGGGGTCTGGGGACCATGCTTTCAGAGGACATCTAGGTCAATCGGCATAACAAAGCTTATTAAGAAAATGTTCCGCATCCTGCTTTGGTGAGTGGCGCCTGGGGTCTTAAAAGCTTGCAAGTGGCCATCTAAGATGCATCAATTGGTCCCAACCACCTGGAGTGAATGAAAAACGCCAAAGACACAAGGAAAGTAGTAGCCCAAGAGACACAAAGGGCCACATAAACCAGAGACTTCATCAGCCTGAGACCAGAAGAACTAGATGGTGCCCGGCTACCACCAATGACTGCTCTGACAGGGAGCACAACAGAGAGTCCCTGATGGAGGAGGAGAAAGGTGGGGTGCAGAACTCCAATTCTAGTAAAAAGACCACACTTAATGGTGTGACTGAGACTGGAGGAACCCTGGAAAGCATGGCCCCCAGATTCTCTATCAGCCCAGAACTTAAATAATTTCTGAGGCCAACTCTTCAGACAGTGATTGGACTAGACTGTGAGATATAAAGTGATACTCATGAGGAGTGTACCTTTTAGCTCAAGTAGATACAAGAGACTAAACGGGCAGCTTCTGTCCGAAGGTGAGATGGGAAGGCAGAGAGGGTTAGGAGCTGGTTGAATGGACACGGGGAATCGGGTGGAAAGGAGGAGTGTGCTGTCACAGTAAAGGGAGAGCAATTAGGGTCACATAACAATGTATGTTTTAATTTTTGTATGGGAGACTAACTTGAAATGTAAACTTCATTTAGACTACAACAATTAAAAAAAAAAAAAGAGTAAGGTGTTGGTGGAATATTTAAAGCCATGTAGGTAAAATTAGGCAAGCCCATTATGTGAAATCCAGATATGTGAACAGAAAATTTTAGAAGTGATTGTTTTTTACTCAAGTATTCTTTGATAAAGGGTGTGCCATAAGAATCCTTTATATAGCAAGCACTCCCAATTCTCTGATATATTAAAAACGCCATACCATTCAATTTATTGAAATTATTTTATCCACAATTATATAGGCTCTTGGCAGTTATCCAAAGTGAGGCACATGCTCAGTTGTATTTTGGAGCTCTTCTGCAGAGACCATTTCTTGAGTCCTCAGAGGACATGGCTGGCTATGGCTGCTCTGCCTAGTTAAGGATCCAGCCCCTCTAACCTTTGAAAGGCACCCTGACCTTGACCTGTACCCTAAGAGCAACAGCAGCTCAGGCTCTGCTGGTCTTTGGGAACATAGAGTGGAGACACTTTGTGACCTGGACTGTCTTGAAAGCATGGATCAGTCACAGAGAATGTGAAACAGTCTTAGTTTGCATGCTAGGTCTTACCAGTCTCTTTGGAGGTAACTCCTTCCCCCCTTCACAGTGACATGGTTCTCTCACATTAATCCCCATTCTCTCTGATGCTTAGAGTAACTATTTCCTATCATTGTAGAGTCCCCTCTCCCTTTGCAGAAATGTTCCTGCTTGTAAAGGATGTAGCCATTTTTGAAAATGTGTGCCTTTCTTGGCTCTGTTTCCCGTTTCTAAGCCACTTGTGTGGTCCACTTTATTCAGGTTTCAAAGGTGTGCATTGTGAATTGGAGATAAATGAATGTCAGAGCAACCCTTGTGTGAACAATGGGCAGTGTGTGGATAAAGTCAATCGCTTTCAGTGTCTGTGTCCGCCTGGTAAGTGCCCACCACCTGCCCCTGTTTTCTTTTAAAGCACAAAGCCTACTGGTCGCAAGGGAGGGAGGAAGGAGAGAATGTGTGTGGGCTGAACGTGAGGAAATCATTAAACTGAATACTTCATGATAGGAGTGTGTGTGTAAAGATGGGGAATTTGTTTTAGTTAGTGTATCTTCTAAATCCTTTGTGGTCAGAAGTCCAAGTCTGTTCTTGAATGGCCCATGACCTCTCTGTCTGTGTGTATTTCAGAAAGCTCATAGCTCACAGAAGCCTTAGTAGTAGCCTACTCAGGATTTTAACTTTTTTCCCCATGGGTCATGTTCCTGAAGCCCCTCTATGAGACTATTGTTTTTAGACATTTCACCCATGGGCCCAGAAACAGACAACACAAGTCAGTTTCTTCCAAAGAAAGCTCTGGAAGCTTTCCTTCCCAAAGCTATTGTTGAAGACATACCAAATTGTCTGCCTTATACTATATATAGCCTCTCATTTCTTCAAAGAAGTTTCCAGTTGCTTCTCAAGCTGCACTTACTTGCTCAAGGGCTTCCCCTATAACATTTCAGTCCCTCCTTGCTCCAGCTGGAAGCGAAATCTATGTCAGGAAGAAACAGTGGTGGAAATACAGTACAGGTGTCTTTGATGCCCCTGAGGTTCACTCAGTTATTTCAGTTACCTTCTGGGGAGAAGGATTCTCTTTATTGCTGACCCATTGGTATAAGCCCTGCTGGTAACCTAACCCAACCCTTCTTTGACATCATTCTTATATTAAAGGAACACATAGGATAATCCTTTGAAATGTCACTGATGTGCCTTTTTAAGGTTTCACTGGGCCAGTTTGCCAGATTGATATTGATGACTGTTCCAGTACTCCATGTCTGAATGGGGCAAAGTGTATCGATCACCCAAATGGATATGAATGCCAGTGTGCCACAGGTAGGTTTCTTCTCACTTTTCTTTCCCCTGGTAGGCCCACCTGAACAAAAGTAGGATGTTAGTGCTCGGCTGGCTGCTCTCCCAGGCCGGTCCACTAACAGGAGCTGCTCTGTGTTCATGAGAGGGCCCCTTCCAGCAGATTTTCTGCTGCTCTCACTGTTTCCTTCTACACCATCTGCCTCTTTATCCACCACAGTGGTGACCTGGCCTGATTATTTCCACTTGGTGCCCATATCTTTCTGGGACAGAGTTTGGCAATGGTGAGTTTCCAGCTGGCTTGACTCACTCCTTTGGGAAAGATAAGAATTCCAGTTAAAGCTGTTTTGCACTGAGGCTTCTCAGCAGGAGGCTTGTCTCTGTGTTTCTTGAAGCAAGTGACTGAAGAAAGACTGAGAAATTTAAGGGCTAGTTGTGTGAAGTGCAGAGGTTTCCTATATAAAAGACAACTAATGCTATTAAGAGGTGTGTAACTGACAGGAGAGACAGCTCTAACTGGGAACGTTTGGGTCCACTTTGCTGACTTCTGCTACTTGTTCACAAATATTCTGTATTTTTGATCTGTGGCCCCATTTCTCACTTGGGAAGTGGATTTGAATGAGCCCAACATCCCCTACTACACATTTGCTTCTGTAGAGGCCTGTATTCTAGAGAGTAGCTAGACTTTTAAATAATTGGTAGAAAAGGTGAATTCTCTGTTTCTTTTTTTTCTCTTACTGCTTGAGACATAAAAGAAGTTATGAATATAATTCAAAACATCTTATTTTAGAAAAATGGATTCTTAAAGTATTGTAAGTTATCACATGCATGGTTTCTTTCTGATCACAGGAAAGCAAACTTACAAAAACCAATGCAGAGAGTTAATATTTCTTTAGTATCAGAGCACTATGATCTATCACACCTGCTTAGACTAAGCCATCTTAGTTGATACACTCAACTTCCTTCTCTTTTCATAAACTATTGGCTCTGGATGAGAAAGTTCCAGCATTTTGTCTTCCACTGGCCAAATTCTTCTTATGAAGGATAAGCATCACTGGAGAGATTAAGGATCTTAAACTCATGTTTAAAAAAGAAGAGAGGCCTGTCGGTGGCTTTTAGGAAGAGGTTTAATGTTGGTCCATTGAAGCCTCGAAGGAAGGAACTCTTTTTCTTTTTCTTTTTTTTTTTTTATTTATGCTTTAAGTGAAAGTTTACAGTTCAGGTCAGTTTCTCATGTAAAAATTTTATACACACATTGCTATGTGACCTTAGCTGCTCTCCCTATAATGTGACAGCATACTCCTCCTTTCCACCCCGGATTTCCTGTGTCCATTCATCCAGCTCCTGTCCCTTTTTGCCTTCTTATCTCACCTTTGGACAGGAGCTGCCCATTTAGTCTCCTGTATCTACTTGAGCTAAGAAGCACTCTCTTCATGAGTATCATTTTATGTCCCATAGTCCAGTCTAATCTTTGTCTGAAGAGTTGGCTTCAGGAATGGTTTCAGTTCCTGGCTAACGGAGATTCCTGGAGCCATGTCTTCTGGGGTCCCTCCAGTCTCAGTCAGACCATCAAGTCTGGTCTTTTTACTAGCATTTGATTGTTTCTGCACCACACTTTTCTCCTGCTCTGTCAGGGACTCTCTGTTGTATTCCCTGTCAGGGTGGTCATTGGTGGTAGCTGGGCACCATCTAGTTCTTCTGGTCTCAGGCTGATGGAGTCTCTAGTTTACGTGACACTCTCTGTATCTTGGGCTAATATTTTCCTTGTCTCTTTGGTGTTCTTCATCCTTCTTTGCTCCACGTGGATTGGGACCAATTGATGCATCTTAGACGGTGGCTCGCTAGCTTTTAAGACCCCAGACGCAACTTACCAAAGTGGGATGCAGAACATTTTCTTAATAAGCTTTGTTATGCCAATTGACCTAGATGTCCCCTGAAACCATGATCCCCAGACCCCTGCCCCTGCTACTCTGTCCCTCGAAGTGTTTGTTTGTATTCAGGAAACTTCCTAGCTTTTGGTTTAGTCCAGTTGTGCTGACATCTCCTGTATTGTGTGTTGTCCAGGAACGAACTCTTATTTGTTCCTTTCCCTTTTAAATGCTCGTAACTCTTTCATTCATTTTACTGAACAAGTATTTATTAAAAACCTGCAATATGTGCATACCACTGTGAGAGGGGTTGAGAGGAATATAGAAAAGTTCTCTGTTCTTCATAGTTAGAATCAGGAAGATAAGATCCACAAAAGCATTAGTGCAGTACCTATAGGCTGGGTTTAGGCAGAAAGGGATACAGTGGTAAACATATAAAGGAAAAATATTGAGAGCTATTACCCACTAAAATTCAATAAGAAATGAAGATGCATTAATCAGTCAGAAAGTAATTTGAATTGTACAGATTTGATTTGTAAAACTTTATTCGTAACTTTTCAGGCTTGCCTTATGAATCGATGCAAATAGCAAGTTTCAATTGCTCATTATTAAATACTGTTAACAGTATCAGTTGTTTAAGACGTGGGATGTGTATAGTGAATGGATGTAGCTACATTTTTGTTCTGATGTGGAGTATCTGCCTTGGTTTTATGACTCTTTCGTAAAATCCCTTCCAAAGGTTTCACTGGTGTGTTGTGTGAGGAGAACATAGACAACTGTGACCCTGATCCTTGCCACCATGGCCACTGCCAGGATGGTATTGATTCTTACACCTGCATCTGCAATCCCGGATACATGGGCGCCATCTGCAGTGACCAGATTGATGAATGCTACAGCAGCCCTTGCTTGAATGACGGTCGCTGCATCGACCTGGTAAATGGCTACCAGTGCAACTGCCAGCCAGGCACGTCAGGTAAGCCTGCTCTGTTTGTTTTCACTGTTTCTCAAAAACAATTTGCTTAGATGTCTCAGACTTTCTTGGCATACTCTCAGATACCTGAAAAAGAGTCTTGATTCTGAGAAGCACAGCCAAAGCCACAACTATAAATATCTCAGAAGCAGATGACCCCATCCAGTTAAGAAGCCTAACTTTGCAAAGCTGATGATTTTGTACATATGTGTTGTTTTTTTTTTAAAGGAGGCATATCACTTCAAAAAATTGAAATTATTATTTAAAATTAAAAAACCCTCTTGGCTTTGTGGCTTGATTAGATTTTCTTTTTTCTTTAACCCCCACCCCAGATTAGTGAAGTTTCTTCTTCCTTCCTTCTTTCCTTCCTCCCTCCCTCCCTTCTCCAATCGTCTCTTCTTTAAGTAGTCTCTTCTTTGATTCAGAGTCCAGTTCCTTTAATGTGACACTTTTCTTCTGCCATTTGTCTCCGGTGATGCCTAAGGCAGTTTTGGGAGGTTCGAAAGGAGGGAAGTTACTTTACAGCATGCCACAGTAGTTCATAAACTAGAATACAGAGCTGCCATTTCCCATCCCCATAGTTCATTGCCGTTCCCTGACCCTGGTTGAATGACCGATTGTCAGTTGTGAGGGCATGCTGCTCCTTTTTGGGGGAATGTTCAATTGTTTTCTTAGGCAGCAGCATTTCACAGGTTTTACTGGATTCTGTTTTACTTATTAGATGAATAATTATTTGTCACAAGTGTGGTTAATGGACAGAGAAGTACTATTTCTTAGATCAAAGGAAAATGTATTAGTGGAAGATTAACCAATATGTGCCTTTGTTAGGAGGGAACCTTCCGATACAAGGGAGTGATTTATTGGGAACACATTCAGGACTTAAGGAAAATGGCCTGTGTAGGGGGCAAAGGTGGGGGAGGTGGTTAGATGCCCTCATTTTATTTTGTTAATTCCAAACCCATTTCTTCAAACTTGTCAAAGGCCCTGGTCTTCATCCAGCACCTCATACATGCCAAGTTTGAAAACAAAGTCCTTTTTGAGTTGCTCAAGCATATGAAAAACATCCCATGCCTTCACAGCTAAAAATGCCGTCCCCCACCCTACGTTTAGATAACTCACTAAAAGGCCTGAATAGATCTTTGTGAAACCTTCCAAAAGCAATTTGCTTCTGGGCTGGTCCCCAGACATGAGAAATTACAGTCCGAAAAGAAATTTGAGAGATTTACAAGCAGTTCAATGGATGCCTTTAGAATGGAAGGGCTGTTTTAGGCTTTGCTATCATTCCCATTATAACAAACATACTGGAAAGCTGGGTGAGTGGTGGGTTGGCAAGGACTTTGTTTTCTCTGGGATTATATCATCATGCCAGGATGTATCAGGTGTGTCCGCTGGGGAGGACAAGAGGGCAGGGTATAAATAACTGTCACTGAGAAAGGCAAGAAGTAAATATGAGTGGTGTGCAGGCAGCATGGAGAAGGAAGGTCTGAGCCTCTCAGAAAGCTGCCAAATCTGTTTCTGAAGCTGTTTGGAGAATTAAAGCAAAGAGATACAGAAGACGTAAAGAAACGTCAATCTGTAATGGGTAAAGAATGAGCTGTCATGTTCTAGGGGCTTGGGTGAAAGCGTCCATTAAATGAATCATTATGAATACACTCTTGCATTCTAGAGTAAGAATCCAGGGTCCATTTGTAATATGGTCCTAAGTTGGTAGGTTGGGGTTTGGATGAGTGGTAGATGGAAGGGATACTTTGCAAGTTGCTAGTTTAAAATTGTGGTTTGTCACTCACTGGTACGTAATGTGAGATATACTACCCAGAATCACTTTTGATGCCTTCTTGTGTCTCTGATTTTGTGATTGGAAACGGTTTTAAGTATGTTTCTTTGTGTTTCAAGTAACAGAAACCAACTTGAGGTAGGTTAAACAAGCATCCACAAACAAACAGAAAGAATTTAGTTAAAGCACACAGAAGCATCTCACAAATCTCGAGGGAGAATTGACCAATAAGGCTTTGGGGAGAGTAGCAGGTAACAGGGCAGTTTGCAGGCCATAGGTCACACAGCTCAAATTCCACTGTTCCAGATGACAGCATCTCATTGGACCAGCTTGGGTCAGGTGTCTATTCCTGCTTGAATAAACTATGGCCAAGGGGGTGGAGTCAGGTTGTACTCTCCTGCCTTTATGGTCTAGAGGGAACTAGTTCCTAGGTAAAGGAGTATTGTCAGTCAAGGGCTAGACACATCCCCTAAAGGTATCCACTTGTATACAAGGAATATGGAAATCCCTTGCCTCATTTATGGTTAGGGAGGCAACATAGTCTCAATCATAGACAGTATGACGTGGTGGAAGGGGGGTAGAACTGTGGAGCCAGAGAGCCGGGTTCATATCCCAGCTGTGCTCCCCGTAGCTCGCATTATGTGAGTCAGTTATTTACCTCATCTGTGAAATGGGTGTAACGACTTGATTTGCATGTTGGATGAGAGGATTAGACATAAATTTTGTAAAGTGCTAAGCTAAGTGCTTTGTACATAATATGGCTCAATCAATTGTTCCTGTCAAATTATTAATAATAAACATTAATATAAAATGTGAGTGAATTAAAATCATGGCATTTTGTCCTATAAGTTTGTGTTTGTTTGTTTATATCCTTATTAACAGATTTTATTTTCAGACGTTTTATACTACCAAGGTATTTTTCTGTGATACCAGAAAGCATCATTGAAATTCGTGTTAAATAATTAAATATCCTGAGTATTTTTTCAAAGTAATGGTAATAGTAATGATTGCTATGTCTCTCCCATCCCATTGCCATCGAGTCGATTCCAACTCATAGTGACCGTATAGGACAAAGTAGAACTGCCCCATAGGGTTTCCAAGGAGCAGCTGGTAGTTTGAACTGCCAATCTTCTGGTTAGCAGCCAATCTCTTATCCACTGTGCCACCAGGGGTATGTCTCTACTGTCTGCTTATCCATATCCATGATTCAGCCTGTGTTATTGTAACCAAAGTCTACCATTCATCTGGGGAGCTGACCCAGATGAGTGCCTTGCTGAGGTAAGGCAGCATACCTCATGAAGAAGTTACCAGACTCATAAAGATTTGTCCTGAATTTTAGTCTATAACAGTGGAAATATGCCATCAAGCTTACAGTGGTGGGTACCAATATTCCAAAATTCTCCTTTTCACTTGGAAGCTCAGATTTTATCTTTGGCAAAAAATACTGTTTTCTTTGAAATGACAAGTTTACTTTGTTCACGTAATGTCTGCCTCTAGTCTGAATAGAGTCCCTGGGTGGTGCAAATAGTTACCACGCTCAACTGCTAACCAAAAGGTTAAAGGTTTGAGTCCACCCAGAACTACCTTGGAAGAAAGGCCTGGTGATCTACTTCTGAAAAATCAGCCATTGAACACCCTATGGAGCACAGTTCCACTCTTGACACACATGGGGTTGCCGTGAGTTGGAGTTGACTCAATGGCAACTGGTACTAGCACTGGTAGTCTGAGTAACCATGGTTTGTTAGTTGTTCTTTGAATAAAATGAGGTTCCATGAAAAAAGCAGGTATTTCAGCTCACAACTCAATCACCCAGCTACTTTTCCTGGAGACAACAAATGTACTTTGGCATACCACAGAAGTGCTTTGTGTGTGCTTCCCACTTTGTCACACAGAATATTAGATGTATACTCAAGTGTTGAGATTTAATTAAATCGTAAAATTAATCATTTTGAGTGCTTCACCATGACCATTCTTAAGTAAAACTGGCTTGTTTGTTTTTCTAACACTGCCAGTGGCAATGGTGGTGAAGAATATAACTACTGGTACAATTTGGTGCCACTGCTTTGATTCATGCTAAGATGCCATTGCTTTTGTACCATCAGTGAGAATGTCAACACAGTAAAAAAGGAGAATAATGGCTTATTATTGTTAAGAAAATCATTTTGACCTCATGATCCTCCAGGAAGGGTCTTGAGGACCCCCAAGTGTTCATGGACTACACTTTGAAAACTATTGCTTTATTGTATCCAGGGTTGTCTAGATACTTTTTATATTTAGATTTTTTAATATGAACAGGAAGTATTTGCACTTCCATGGTAATATAGAATGATTTGTCTTTGCTTTTATCTTCCCAGGGATTAACTGTGAAATTAATTTTGATGACTGTGCGAGTAATCCTTGTGTCCATGGAGTCTGTAAAGATGGTATTAACCACTACAGCTGTGTCTGTTCACCAGGATTCACAGGTAATGCTCTTTTTATTGGAAAACCCACTCATTCAGTCCCATCACTTTGGGAGAATGACATCTAAGAGAAAATTACTTTTTAAGTATCTCCTTATTTGTGTATTTTTTTTTTTTTGTCTCTCTGAAAGGTTATAAGTCTGTTTCCATGCTTCCTGGACCAGTTTTCTGCTTACAGGCCTTTCCTAAACTGAAATATGATACTTGTCATTACTTGAGGTTTTTAGACCATATGTTTATCACTACCTGAAAAGAATTATTAGTCAGATCATGAGTTCCCTTAAGTTATATTGCTTGCAAAGCCAACTTCATTTTTCTGTGGTGAGTAATAATGTTTTTCATAAAAACATACCCAAGGTAAATCTCTATGAATATACTAAATACTCAATTTCTGGGTATTTCTTCTTTTGGGAGGTTGTTGGATAAGGTCAGAACTTGAGAGGACCAGCTTAATTTGGCTACCACAAATGAGTTCTTTCTACTCAAAAGGAAGACTGTAAATGCGCAAAATTACTTGGGTTATAACTTTCTAAGTTATGAACAGCCAGAGCATTGACACGTTCACACACACAGACACTCAAACACGCACACACCCACTCACGCACATCTCTGTTCTCTCTTTTGTTGTGAATAATATTACGATTATCTTTTACCTTCCTGATCAAAAAGTACTAGAGACTACTGAGGAAACCTGAGTTTGTTAATGGCACCATCAGAGGGCATACACTGTGTCTGTCCTGTTATTTTTGGACAGTGCCACAGTGCCACGCACAAGCAGGCACTAACACAGTGATGTTCCCATTGAATAATTACCGTATGTCATTTTCAACCAGTGTGAAACTTCCCTCTGAGCTTTTGAAACTATAATGTCAGAAGGCATCTAGAGCCCACTAAAGTGAATGTATGCCATTTGCTTGTGAGGCTTTACTTTCTTCTGTGTGTCACAGTCATTTGTGTTCTCCTGCTTGGTATGATTGTGCCCACTAGAGAGGAGTGTGGTGGCCCATATTGGGTCATGGTAATCCCTGTTTAGTGGAAGATCACTCTCAAGCCAGGTATGATGTAAGCCTTCATGCCTAGTAATCAGTGCTGCTGCCATAGTCAGATGTACTTTTGTGTTCTGAAACCTGTTACTCCAAGGTTAAGTGACAGTCAACTGAATACACCAAAATCCCTGCTAAATAGAATGATAGGTACGTCATTGTTGAACGGGTACCAAGAAGAGAATAGTTAATGTTTTTATTTTTATTAAGGGCTTATTTTAAGCCAGGCATTAAGTGAAGTGCCTAATCTCATCTAATTGTCACTGCCATTAACATCCCTATGATATTGATAAGAAAGGAAAAGCTTAGCAAGGTTACATAAAGTTACCCGCCAGGAATCCAGCCCAAGGGGTCTGACTCCAAGTGATCCACACTCGGGACCACTTCACTCTACAGCTTAAGCAGTGCCTGCTGTGGTTTCTCTGGATTTATGTAAGGCTTCAGCTGGACTTATTTGCTTTGGAAATGCCAGTGAAACATATTTTTTTTTTTTTTTTTTTTTTTTAACATTTAGCAAATAAGGAAGGTCAAGAAGGGAGGACACAGGCTAAAAATATTCTAAAATAAACTTAAGGTGTAGCATGAAACTACATAACCAAGAGATGGAATGTTTTGGTTACTGGGTGGTACCCTGTTCTTGGAACTGTTTTCTATATCTGGGAGTACTTCTATTTTTTTTTTTTTTTTTTTTTAAATCAGCTGCTGAAAATATCAGAGGCACCTGTGGTATATACTTATGAGCAGTAAATGTTGTGTTTTATTCTTTCCCTTTTTAAATTTTACTTTAATAGTTGTTTTGTGTTGTTTACCATTTTAGTAACAGCTTGGTGGGATGTGAGGGAGTTCTTTGGGTTTTCCTGTTTGTTTTTTAAACTAAATTCTCTGTTCTTCCACGACTACTTTACATTTATTGATTGAATGGGGAAGTAAAAAAATCATATGCTGCTCCTAAAAACTGCTTTTCAGTTTTACAAAGCACTTTGATATCTATTTTCTTGCTGAAATCTCATCACAGTTCAAAACATAGGTGGTGGTGTTCTTGCATGTCGTCAAGTTGATTCCAACTCATAGCGACCCCACAGGACAGAGAAGAGCTGCCCCTTTCCAAGGCTGTAATCTTTATGGGAACAGACTGCCAGGTCTTTTCCCCAACAAAGTGGCTGGTGGGTTCGAACCACCGACCTTTTGATTAATAGCTGAGCACTTAGTCATTATTATCCTCATTTAACAAATAAGGATACTGGGAGATAGAGCTTGATATATCCATGGTTTCAGCTAGTCAGTCACAGAAGTAGGACTGTGAGTTCCCAGAGACAAGGACCTCCCTTAATCATCATTTCAGCCAGTGTCTAAAAACCAAAAAAAAAAAAAAAAAATCCATTGCCGTTGAGTTGATTCCAACTCATAGCGAACCTATAGGACAGAGTTTTCCAAGGAGTGGCTGGTGGATTTGAACTGCCCATCTTTTGGTTAGCACTGAATGCTTAACCACTATGACACCAGGGCCCCAAAACAGTGACTAGCAGAGAGGAAATAATCGGTAAATGTTGCTGAAGGAATGAATGAATGAATTAGCAGGACTCCAATATGGAAGCTTTGACATCCAACTCCAGACTGTAGAATCTGGAGTATACTATGCTTTCATTCATTAAACACACCAATTTATTCATTACCTACCAGTAAGAAACGTTGGTTCAGCTTCTCATTTCAGGAGTTACTGAGGCCTACAAAGTACATAGTCTTGTACTGGGTATTTCTGACACCCAGTGGAAACTCCTTGAGGGTAGGACCTTGCTAGGGAAGCAGCTATTTGTTATGGATTGAATTATATCCCCCCCACAAAATATGTGTTGTAAATCCTAACCCCTGTACCTGTGGTTATAACCTCATTTGTGAATGGATTTTCTTTGTTATATTAATGACATAGTATTAGTGTACGATGTGTCTTAAATCAGTCTCTTTTGAGATGTAAAAAAGCAGATTAAGGAAGCAGAGATGGGGGAAGATAGATGGCAGGGAAGATAGATCACCAAGTGACTGAAGAACAGAGCTGAAAAGAGACAAGGGTCTTTCTCCAGAGCCAACAGAGAGAGAAAGCCTTCACTTAGAGCCAGCACTCTGAATTTGGACTTCTAGCCTCCTAGACTGTGAGAAAATAAATTTCTGTTTGTTAAAGCCACCCACTGGAGGTATTTCTGTTATAGTAGCACTAGATAACTAAGACACTATTACTCCAAACAGTTGACTGCACAGTCAGAAGCAAAAACCAAACCCATTGCTGTCAAGTCGATTCCAACTCGCAGCAACCCTAAACGACAGAGTAGAACTGCCTCAAGTGTTTCCAAGCTGTGGATCTTTGCAGAAGCAAACTGCCACATCTTTCTCCCGAGGAGCGGCTGGTGGGTTCGAACCACTGACATTTCAGTTATCAACCCAGCACTGAACTACCGTGCCACCAGGGCTCCTTAGACTACACAAGAAGGCACTTAATAAACATTCTTTGATAAAGGTGACTTGAAAATTGATTTTCGAAAGGATTTTAAAAGCAAGTGAATAAAACTTGGGAGGAGTGGCTACTGAGAAGATGCTTCCAAAAAAGGACTGAAAATGAAGAAGCCTTTTTCCTCTTGTCCTCCACTAGATTGCAGGTTGAGGATAGCTCTATAGTCCAAGAGCTGTGGTTCATATCTTGGGTCCAGTGGCAAACATCTAAAAAAAGTCAGAGGTTGAGGCCAAGGAAATAGGATTTTAAAATAACTTGTTAATAAAACACTTATGAGGAAAACAGCAACCACTAGCAGATTGTGGGTCTTTACCACGAGAACCACTAATAATGGTTTAGAGAGCAATGGAGGGTGAAAAAATGTTAATACCCATACTTTAAGGGTGTGTGTGTGTCTATTTCATTTGGAATTTCCTGTTCTAAATGCAAGGTTGCTCTTTCTTAAATAAAAATACATGTTTTTAGCTGAATCAGAACATTGTATTCTTTGAAATTTGTGTATTTCATCATAGCAGTTGCTTGTTACCACTCATTTACAGAATTATGGGTAATTTTAAAATTTTATATTGTTTGGAGATGTACAGTTAAAGCTCAATTATTTAGAATCTATCAAAGCAAAATTCTTAAATAACTGGCACATTTTACTTTATTCAGGTTAAAATAATAAATATGACACTTATACAAACATCTTTTCAAAAGTACAATCTTAGGTGTGTCTTAGAAGCAGAATAGATTCATCTCAATTGCTACACTCTCAGCGTCTACAGTGCTATATGATGAGAAGCAGTAATTGTTCAGAGCAGCGTTTCTCAGAATGTGATCTTTGAACCATCTGCAAATGTTAAAATGTGGGTTGCTGGCCCAATCCATTACAACCTATGGTAAAAGAGCCTAGGAATCTCCCTTTAAAACAAGTGAAGTTTTTTTTTGCACATTAAAGACTGACATACACTAGTCTAGACTGCAAAACCCTGAATTGTTTTCTGAATCATCAGAGGACAATAAAATTATGCTTAAAAACCCGTTGCTGTTGATTCCAACTCATAGCAACCCTATAGTAGAACTGCCCCATAGAGTTTCCTAGGAGTGCCTGGTGGATTCGAACTGCTGACCTTTTGGTTAACAGCCATAGCACTTAACCACTACACCAGTAGGGTTTCTAAAATTATGCTTAGTGTACTCTGTTTATAGATTAAATACAGAAAATGGATTAATAGAACTCTAAGAATGAAAACAAAGTAGCTTTTCTGTTTAACTAACTGAATTAATAAATTTGTCGTTCAGTCTCTAAGCATTCCAGTTAATTGAGATTTATAATATGTAGAAATACAAGAGATTGAGTAACTAAAAATATGTATTAGTGGTAAACCAGCAGAAAGCAGTGATAAGAAAGGCTTCTCTGAGAGTTCTCAGAATAGCATCAAGAGGAAAAGCCATCTTTGACAACATTCGATATTTTCCTTTTGAAATCTTGTGAAGCTTCCCTACTTCTAAGGTGCAGTGAAGAAAGAAATACATGTCAAAACTGTATTTCTACAACACTGTTCCAGCATTTCATTAACTTCCTTCATTATCAAAAGAAAATGATGTTTACTCCTTCCTTGCCTGGAGCTAAGTGCTATTGGGTATCTTACTCTTTAAATCTTGGCTTTTGGTGACCCGGTTACCTTATAGCCTGTGCAGATGAAGAATGTCAGCAGAATATGTCTCATAGTTCTGTGTCTCTTCTCTGAGCATTTTGGATTTGACTAAAGCGTCCTCTTCTCTATAGGGCAGAGATGTAACATTGACATTGATGAGTGTGCCTCCAATCCCTGTCGCAAGGGTGCAACGTGTATCAATGATGTGAACAGTTTTCGCTGTATATGCCCTGAGGGGCCCCATCACCCCAGCTGCTATTCTCAGGTGAATGAGTGCCTGAGCAATCCGTGTATCCATGGAAACTGCACTGGCGGCCTCAGTGGGTGAGTAGCGGCCATGTATTAATGGTTTCTTACTGATCTTTATCAAGCCAGTTGGTTTTTAGCACTGGCAATACCCTACAGAAATCAGTCAGGAAGTTGAGCTGTGACTTGGCCGATGATTTTGGTAGTCTGCCTCAAGACCTTCAAAATCACAAATTCATTCATGGAAATTTGCCTTCTACTTGACGTAACAAGTACCCAAGTAGAAAATAAGGAGGAATTGTCTCCCTTACCCAGGTAGTCAGCAAGGACTTTGTGGGAAGAGTCCAGAGTTATTTTATGATCTTTGACAGTTGTGTTTTTGTACTTATTACAGGATTGGGTTCTGAGGGATGTTCTAGTCTCTGGCTTTTTCTGCCTGCTTAAAAATAGTTCAACTCTGTTCCATTACAGTACCAGTGTGTGCTGCAGAGGTATAGCTGGTCTTGGCTAATTTTAGACAGGACCCTGATAAAACATTTGCAGTGTGCAAGCCCCTTTGAGTTGTGTGATGTGTTGGCAGTTAAGTTTCTAGACTCACAGATTATGACCTTAGGTTCCATACTCTTGCTGTGCTTGCCGTAGGACAGGACTCTGGGCACTGCCATTTGCTAAACTTCCAACAGGTGAAAGAATGAAGAGTGTATTTAGAGATAAGTGAGAAATAAATTTATTTCCAAAGTTAATTAACTCAGTATTCTTTTTTCAGAGTATGGCTGCCTTCTAAAGCATCCCAAACCATCTATCTGCCTTTTTCCTAAAGATCTCTAGACAAGGATGCTGTCATCTGATATCACCGTCTAAGTGCAAATGATGTTCAAATTGGAAATGAGAAACACATGTTTCAGATACCTTCATTTGTGTTCCTTTTCCTTATCAGTACCCCAGTGCTTTCTGAACCAGGATTTTAGGTCAGGACAAAGCATGATTCAGAAGGCAAACATCCCAGGAACTCCTCAGAGTAGCTTAGGGTCCCTGCTACTGACATATTTCCTGGGTGTCTATTTTATACTAGAAATAGGTGACTCTAAGGTTTACTTTTACTTTAATTTTATATATAAGAAAAGAAGCCCTGCAAGTTTATCATTGCTGTTTCCTTCAGATAGGCCCAATGTATTGTACAAACCATTGTTTATATGTAAAGCTCATTATAATTAATTTCTCTAGCATTTTGGTGAGCCAGGGAAGCACTAGGTAGGTCTCTTTACTGAATATACCATATGGACCTACGTAATTCACACCATGTGCATCGTGATCCAAATATAGGTTCATAGAAGAGTAGAAATGAGATTAAGCTACCCATGGGCTCTTATGTCCCCTCAGTTCTTCACCAAGTCCAGCATTTTTCTCTGTGACTCAACCTGCACAATCATACCTCCCACAGTAAATAACCCTGTCTTCTTTCAGATACAAGTGCCTCTGTGATGCAGGCTGGGTTGGCATCAACTGTGAAGTGGACAAAAATGAATGTCTTTCTAACCCATGCCAGAATGGAGGAATTTGTGACAATCTGGTGAATGGATACAGATGTACTTGCAAGAAGGGCTTTAAAGGTGAAGGCAAAGTACATGTTTTTACCTCCTTTCTTTGCCTTCTTGTTGCATACTGCTTGGCTCACTTCTTTGTTTCCCTTTCCTTTTGTCCATTTGTTCATACAGTCAACATCACTAGGTATGAATTCTACCTTCAGTCTAGCAGAGAGGTCAGCTATTGAAACAGTTCTATTTAAGATGAATAGCTAAGATTTAACTTAGCTTTTGAGCAAGTGTTCTAATCCTAACCTTTTAGAGAAGGTGTGATTCTGTCATAATTCAGAAGAGAAATATGGAAGTAGGATAAAAATATTGTGCTCACTATAATTTTGCATTAATAATAACATGGAAGAATCTGTGTTCAGAACCCTTTCAATAAACCTTCTTATATATTGATATAATCTTAGATACATAGTCGCCTATGGTGTTCTAGAAAAGTATATCCAACAAAAAAAAAAAACACCAAACCCGCTGCCGTTGAGTCAGTTCTGACTCATAGCGACCCTATAGGACAGCGTAGAACTGCCCTATACGATTTCCAAGGAGCGCCTGGTGGATTCGAACTGCCAACCTTTTGGTTAGGAGCTGTAGCTCTTAACCACTGTGCCACCAGGGTTAGTAGAGAGAATTATGTAAAATCATTTTTTAAATTGTCACCATTGTATTTCTACCATAAATTTTCTGTTGGAAACTCAGGAGAGAGAAATTTGTAGGTAAATAATTTATTTTTGTACTCATGTATCCACTTATTCATTTATTCCCCTATTCAAAATTTTTGTGCCAGGCAGCTGTGATACATCATTATATTTCAGAGCCACTTTATCTGATGACTTGAAAATTTTCTGAGACCATATTTCAGTCATTGATTTTCTGATATATTATGTCACATTTGCATAGAAACTTATAAGTTTAAAAGCACTTTTATTTCTTTATCTCATTTACACTTGCTTATCAATCAGCCAAGTAAAAATCAGAATGCCAAATCCAAAGTTGTACAGCTGTTGAGCAGCAGAGTACAACTTGACCACAGGCCTCCATACACCTAGGCGTCATTTTCTCTTTTTACAGTACTATACTTCTGTGTTCTAAGGCTCTGTGCTAGGCCCTACTGAAGATACAAAGATGTCTAATATTTAGGCACTGCCTTATCCCCAGTAATCCTTCTTTAATTTTCTCCTTTTCATTGGGGGAGTAAATTTCTGGCCTTGGATCTGGAAAAAAAAAGTTTTGTGACTTCAGGAAGTACCACATTGGTAGTACAGACTTGCATATGAAGCAGTGGGCATAAATCAGAGGCTTTGATTAACGTAGTTGGAAAAATTATCCCTTATCCTGACCAGATACTTTGTACATGTATCAGTTGCTGTGGAGTCCATTCCAACTCATAGCGATCCCAAGTGTGCAGAGTAGAACTGCTCCATAGGGTTTTGATGGCTGTGACCTTTCAGAAGCAGATTGCCAGCTCTTTCTTCCAGGGCACCTCTGGGTGGGTTCAAACCAGCAACCTTTTGATTAGGAGTCGAGCACTTAAAGCTGAGCGCTTAACTATTTGTACCACCCGGGGACTCCACCATACTTTGTATAGAAAGGAGCTTATTTTTGGATCAAGCATCAGGCTTTTTACCCTTCATGAACCTTTCTGTCCTTTACTGAGAAATCACTTGTATTTGCAGGTGCATTAGACTTTCAGGCCTTTAGAATATACTGCTGTGCATTCATCCTTTTGACTGATTGACCACTGCCATTTACTGACTGACTGTAGGTCAGGGTCTTGTCACTGAAATGGATGCTTAGGCATCTTGGTAGCTGGAAGAAATTAATGCACTATCTGAAGTGTTTAATTTTTGCCACCAAGAGCATTGGTTAGTAATTGAGATAATGAGGAGGCTGACAGAAAGTTTCACTTTCTTTTTATATTTTTCCCCTTTTCTGTCTACAGGCCATAACTGTCAGGTGAATATTGATGAATGTGCTTCAAATCCGTGCCTGAACCAAGGAACCTGCTCTGATGACATAAGTGGCTACACTTGCCACTGTGTGCTCCCATACACAGGTGAGTCCTGCAGGTGCTAAGCAGGGACCAAGCGGGTACTTGCCTTGTCTGTCAGAGTGTCTGAGTCTCAGTGATGCACATCAGTGAGGCGATGATAAGGCTCCAAGGAGTCACTCCCTGGTTGCCCTTCTTGACCTCACCAACTAGATTTTGAGCTTTGAGAAAACCTCCCGAGGTGCAGGCAGTGGGGAAACCCATTTGTCTTCTCTGTACTTGAGGATTTTAATTGGTTTTTAAATTATAAATATGGCTGGAAACTGGTACTTAGCTGGTTGTTGAGTCTGTCATTTGAATGTACCCATGGCCTTCACTCTTAGGCATATTAGCTTCTTAGCTCCACTAATAAAACAACTACCATATATTGATCACTTACTATGTGCCAGACATTTACATACTGTGGGTTATTTAATCTAGTGCTCATGATAATTCTACAAAGTAAACGTTTCTATCACCATTTTATACGTGAGGAAACTGAGGCAAAGAGTGGTTAGTTGCTCAAGGTTACATAGGTAAGTGGTGGATCTAGGATCTGCCCCTAAATCTCTCTCTTCACTGCCACTCTGTACCTCACGTTCAGTACCATGACCACAGAGGTATTGCCACTTGGATTGCTTTTACACACAGAAGACAAAGGTGTGACTTCATTTCACTTCAAATGTTCTTTGTTTCAGGTGATATTTTTAAAGTGTGCTTGAGACATTTCTTCTTTGTTTTCTCTTGCCTTATCATTGCCATGTTATGATTGGTTGTACTTGTATGGCTTGTTTACCTCTTCATCATCCATGGGGAACAAAACAGAATCATATATGTGGCTTTCCATGTTTCACCAGAGCTTAGCATGCAGACGAGAGCATGGCTGAGTTACTACTCGCCTAGAATCTTGGGCGTAGAAGTTCAGTAGCTGATAATTGTGACTAGAAGCTGTTTAGTGTAGCAGAGTGGCCAACAGCATTACTCTGTTACCTGAATGGCTTAGATTCAGGATTCAAACTGTGCTACCTTGTCACCTTTGCCCTTCTTTAGAAGAAATGTTGATGTACAGAAGCTGCATTTAACTGGCCTGGTACATAAAGTCTCACAGATACAGGAGGTCCCTATCTCCAGGCTGCTGTTGTGTGCCATTGAGTCAATTCCAACTCACAGCAACCCCATGTGACAGGGTAGAACTGCCCCAAAGTGCTTCCTAGGCTGTAATCTTTATGGAAACAGATTGCTAGGTCTTTCTCCTGTGGAGCCACTGGGTAGGTTCAAACTGACCGCCTTTTGGTTAGCAGCTGAACACTTAACTGCTGGGCCACCAGGGCTTCTTTCATCCCCAAGCAAGACAGTATAAATAATACCATCCCGTAGTTACAGTGCTGATCATATTTATTAGTGAGAAGATGATCTCACTTGCAACCATAAAGACTGAGAATTGGCGGTTATGGAGAGGTATAAGCAGGTGTCACCATGCTCAGTCACATCATAAAGCTTACTTGAGTGTGACTTAGGTATACAGCTCATCTTGAAAATACTTATTTTCATCATGCTATTCAGATATTGTAAGTATATTTGACTATATGCTGGCTATTGATTTATCTTTAGAAAAGGATCCCAATTAAAAGAATTTACTATGTGTGAATTTAGAGAAATTATATCTGACTGCAAGTCCAGGCGGATTGAAATTTCAGTGCTGAGTGTGACTGAGGGTTCTGAGCTGCACTGAGTTTGCCTAGCATGAGGAGAACTAAGTACTTTTTCCTTTGTAAGTCACTTTTTTGACCAAACACATGAAAAACTGGTTAGAGATTTTAGTGAAAAATTGTAATTTTTTTCCTTTCTGAATACAAAATTTTAGGCTGATACTTAAAATTGAGTTGGTTGTAACTTGACCTTAAAAGCAGCTGCTCCCTTTTAATAGAATATCCTTATTTTGATTTTTTTTTTTTTTTTTTTTGCACAAGCTTATATTTAGCATAGTGATTTTTTTTTTTAAATGATGTTCATGAATTTTGTTTGCTTTGGATGCATAAAACCACAATAACTCTGGTAATAATATAACTTTGATAATCATAAAAGATAAGAACTTTCTTTTTAAAAAGTTGACTGAGCAAAGTTTTGCTTCTGCATTTGTTTCTAGAGGCAATTTATCTGAAAAGTTTATTTTATTAGCTATGTTGAGGTAAATTTGAATATTTTAAAAAATTAATTTAAAAAAAGATAAATAGATCTTAAGTGGCTGACCTTTACTAGCTTATTTATAGTTTCCAAAATGTTTCACATTCACTAGCATTTAATTATCACAATAATTCTGGGAGGTATTGTCTCATTTTACAGATGGGAAACTCAGGTTCCGAGATAGCCAGAAGTTTGTCCAGGTAAGTTAGTTAGCTAGTAATTGTTGGAGTCAGAACTTTAGCCCATGTTCTTCTGAGCCAGAAGCCCATACCAAAAGGTTGGCAGTTCGAATCCACCAGCCGCTCCTTGGAAACCCTACGGGGCAGTTCTGTTCTGTCCTGTAGGGTCGCTATGAATGGGAACTCACTCAACAATGAGTTTGCTTTGGTTTTTTATGCTGCACAGGAAAAGAAAAGGTCTGATTCTCCAGAAAGCCAAGAAACTGTTCCAACTTTTTAAGGTAGCTTTTTAAATACAGATATAAAACTACATCTCAAAAAGTGACATTTTTGCTCATAATCATGAAAGTATAAATTGTTACATTGAAGGGCAGGTTAACATGATATTTTAAGAAAAGCCTTTAAAATATACTATTCTTGGATATAACTCGCTTTTAGGAAGTTTTCTTATGGAAGTAATCAACAATGATCTTCAGCATTTTTTCAACAAAGATTTTCAACATTTTTCATCTTTAGCATGATTTATATTATAATGCTCAAAATTAGAAGGAGCCAAAAAATATTAAAGGCACTGCATAAGTTTTCTAACACATAGAATTATGCTTAATAAGTGTCTAATGAATGAATGAACAAACAATTTGAAAAGGAAAGCTAAGGAAGTATTGGTGAGCAGTTATCAATGTCCTGTGGATGTCAGTATAAGGAGACCTGCTTCTAGGCAATCAGAATTTCCTGTTTCCCACCTCTGATGTGCCTTCTGATCAACCCGTTCTCTTCTGGAACCAGTCAGCAGAGATTGTGAGGAAACTGTTTTGAGCCCATCAATGACTGAGGCACAAGAGGCCACACTGTTGCTTTTTCCTTGCTCATGTGAAGGAGGATCTTAGTGGCTGAGCTTTTGAGTAGCTGAGTCTTAGCTATGGAGGTGTAGAAAGAAACTATCACACCTAATTGATGCAGGTGTCCAAATCCATGTGCCCATCAATGACGACAGTGACAATTGCCCAACAGTTGTTGAGTATTCATTCTACTGACTAGACTCAATGCCAATGATAAAGACTTTGTATGAATTTTTTCATTTAATCCTCAAAAAAGTCTCTGTGAGTTCAGTTCAATTCTAATTCCTGTTTTACTTATAAGGAAGATTTAGAGAAGATGAATAACTTGCCTGAGGTCACATAGTTAGTAATGTCAGAGCCAAGACTCAAAGTACTGTAGATCTCTCAGATTCCAAAGCCTCTTAACCACTTTGTTGTTGTTGTGGTTAGTTGCTGTCAAGTCGACTCTGATTCTTGGTGACCTTATATATAATAGGAGGAAACATGACCCAGTCCTTTGCCATCATTATGGTTGTTGGTATGTTTGAGTCCATTGTTCTGACTGTCCTGTCAGTACATTTCATTTGGTGTATCCTTCTTTTTCCCTGACCCTCTACTTTACCAAACAAGTGTTCTTTTCTAGGGATTGGTCTTTCCTGATGATATATCCAAAGTAAGTGAACCGAAGTCTTGCCATGCTCACCTCTAAGGAACATTCTAGTTATATTTCTTCTAAGCCTGATTTGTTCATTCTTTTGACAGTCTTTGGTATAGTCAGTATTCTTTGCCAACACCACAGTTCAAATACATCAGTTCTTCTGTCTTTTTTCACTATCCAACTTTTGCATGCATAGTAGCGGTTGAAAAGAACATGGCTTGGATCAGACGAACCTTAATCAGCAAAGCTTTTTAAAATTTTAAAGAGATCTTTTGCCACAGATTTGCCCAATGCAATACATAGGGAACAGAGAAGGCCTCAATGAGGTAGCTGCCCCTTCTCAGTGCTGATACTGCCCGTGCAAATAATTTATCTAGTGTCTCTAATATTTGTTTGTTTGTTTGTTTCCTTTCAAGCTAGTGTCTTTAGGAAGTCGTTTATTTCTTGAGTGCTGCTTCCATGAGAACATCCTTTGGAATATAGTTTGGGGAAATTTCTGCTTCCTTGGCAGGTTCTCTATCATAAACTCTGTCATTTACTTTACAGGCAAGAATTGTCAGACTGTATTGGCTCCTTGCTCCCCAAACCCTTGTGAGAATGCTGCTGTTTGCAAAGAGGCACCAAATTTTGAGAGTTACACCTGTCTTTGTACTCCTGGCTGGCAAGGTAACAACACGTGGGTGGAGAAGCCAAGGAAAATACATTTTGAATTTTAAACAAAGTGGTCAGGGTATCAATGACATGGAAAACCCTAGTCTTCTGAGTGGTGCAGTGGTTAAGAGCTTGGCTGCTAACCAAAAGGCTGGCAGTTCAAATCCACCAGCTGCTCCTTGGAAACCCTATGGGGCAGTTCTGCTGTCTCCTGTAGTGTCTCTATGAGTTGGAATCGACTTCACGGCAACAAGTTTCATTGGTTTTGGTCTTCTGAGTCCTGCCCATCTTCTTTAAGAACGCAGGTCTTGCTCAGGAGCTGCTTACATAGCCATTCCATTTTCCATGTCTTTGGAGCCCCCTAGTGGCTAGAAGACTACAACCTTAGAGTCTCAAACCAGGGTGTTTAACAGGGAATTTGGGCACCTTGGAAGCAATTTTCCCAGAAGGAACAGAAGTCTTCATGGGACTTCCCGTCCAGGAAACCAACCAGGATATCTCTGAAGTAGCCTCATCCACCCCAGCTGAAGCTCAGGCTACCCAAAGATGTCTGTGGGAATCAACTTCCAAAGACTGGGCCATTCATTGCCCCTGTGTTTCTAGGTCAGCGGTGTACAATTGATATTGACGAGTGTGTCTCCAAGCCCTGCATGAACCACGGCGTCTGCCATAACACCCCGGGCAGCTACACGTGCGAGTGCCCTCCAGGCTTCAGCGGTATGGACTGTGAGGAGGACATTGATGACTGCCTTGCCAGTGAGTATACCAGCCAGCGCCTGAGCCCTGTCAGGGAAAGGAAAGCACATAGGGAACAGATGAGAAGGCCTCAGGGAGGCAACTGCCCCTTCTCAGGGGCATGCAAATAATTTATATCTTTAATATTAGTTGTTTTTTTTTTTAATTTTCCCTTCCAAGCTAGTGTCTTTAAGAGTTGAGACAATGGAATCTCTTTTAAGCATTCCCCTATTAAATTTTGTACACTGATGAGGTGGGTGGGGACAGTGCTAGGATAGGTTTTTTTTTTCCTCCTAGTCAGATTTCTTGAGGTATAATTAACATACAATAAACTATACATGTATAAAGTATACAATTTGATAGGTTTTGACGTACCACACCTGTGAAGCCATCACTCAAAATAATGAACGTATCTCTCCCTCTAAAAGTATCCTCATCCCTTTTGTAATTTGACCCTCCCACCCACCTCCCTGTCTTCAGACAATCAAGGATCTTCCCTTCTGTCACTATAGATTAGCTTGTGTGCGTGTGTGTGCGTGTGTGTGTGTGTGTGCGTGTGTGTGTGTGTGTTTTATAATTTTATGTAAATGGAATCATACAATACATACTCTTTTTGTTGTTGTTCTGACTTCTTTCAACCAGCATATGTGATTTGAGATTTGTCCTTACTGTTGTGTGTGTCATGTGCTCATTCCATTTTATTGCTGAGTATTATTCCATTGTACGGCTATGGTACAATTCAGTAGTTGATGAACATTTGGGGCTTTTTTTCCAGTTTTGAGGTGTTAACAAATATAGCTGCTATGAATGAGTCTTTGGATAGACATATGATTTTATTTCTCTTGAGTAAATACCTAGGAGTGGAATGAGTGAGTCACATGATAGGTATATGTTTAAATTTTTAAGAAATTGCCAAAATGTTTTTCAAGGTATTATACCATTTTCATTCCCACTAGCATTATTGTATGTATAGGGCAGTGTTAGTTCCGTGGTAGAATTCTCACCTTCCATGCAGGAGACCTGGGTTCTATTCCTGGCCAATGCACCTCAAGCGCAGCCATCACCTATCTGTGGGCTTTTGTGTTGGCTATGATGCTGAACAGGTTTCACTGGAGCTTCCAGGCTAAGACAGACTAGGAAGAAAGGCCTGAAGGTCTACTTTTGAGAAATCAGCCAATAAAAACCCTGTGGATCCACAGGGGTCTGATCCCTTTGTGCATGGGGTTGCTATTAGTCAGGGGTTGAGCTGACAGCAGTTAAGAGCAACAACAAGCATTGTATGAGTTCCAGTTGCAACGCATATGCAGGAACATTTGGTATGGTCAGTCATTTTAATTTTAGCCATTCTAGTGGGTGTATAGTGGTATTTCACTGTAGATTTAATTGGCATTTCCCTATTTGCTAATGATGTTGAGCATTTTCCTGGTATTCTGTGTGTTGGGGGCACATATTTGATTACAAATATGTAAAATTATAAGTTAAAAAGTTGTAAATATGTGAGAGACCAGTACTTTTGTAACTCTTAATATTACAAAATTATTAGTGGAGATGTTGGTAGTTTGTCCCAATTACCAAGCAGGTTATCAGACAATTAGTATTGCATTCATTTTCACAAATGGGAGGATTATGGGAAAAGTCAGAATCGTTACTGCCCTTAGTGTGACTTAGTTCAAGTCTCTCATCTTTCTGAGTCTAAAATGAAGTTGATGCTGTTGTTCAGAGCTCTGATTCCCATGTGCAATGCCCTAGATCCTTGCCAGAATGGAGGTTCCTGTGTGGATGGAGTCAATACTTTCTCCTGCCTCTGCCTTCCGGGGTTCATTGGGGATAAGTGCCAGACAGACATGGATGAGTGTTTGAGCGAGCCCTGTAAGAATGCAGGGACCTGCTCCGACTATGTCAGCAGTTACACCTGCAGGTGTCAGGCGGGATTTGATGGAGTCCACTGTGAGAACAACATTGATGAGTGCACTGAGAGGTGAGCCACCCATGCACACAAGCACAATGTCTTATGGGAAAAAAGGAGAAGGGGGAGTGCATGCTGCGATGGGCAGGGATGAGGCATCCACTCGGGTTCCACATCCACAACCATCTCCCATTGCTCGGTCCCCAAAGGTCAGATGTTGAAAAGCTTAGTGGGATTAAGGATCATCATTTATTTCTCGCTCAGAGAACAGAAAGAGCTATGATCCTCTTCCATTCTCCCCTTGGCCTCTTGCTCATTTCAATTGACAAGTGATCCAAAAATGTCTGTATCTTTGCCAATTTGTCACTGCTCTTTAACAGCTAATTTCTGGGAGGTTTGTTGTTTTGTTTTTAATCAGTGAGTTTTTTCTGTTTCTCTTTCATAAAAAAATCTAGGGTCAAGAGCTATTTTAGCACTTTTCATAAAGTGAAATTGACTTAGGGGACAAATGAAGTGTGATATGTGGAAAACAACAAAAGGACTGGGAAAAACCTGGAAAACTTTACCTTCTCTAGGAATTTCTAGTGAGCTCAGCCTTCTGAATTCTCCTAAGCCTATTGGGAATTGGGTTGCTTGGAGTATTTTTATGTAGGGTTTTGCCTCTATAACATCTTAGATTCCAGAAACCTTACTTTTCAAACAGCAAAGTCAGAGGAACCAGGTTACAAAGCTGATGTTGCTCTCATGTTTGCTCCTTAGCTCCTGTTTCAATGGTGGCACGTGTGTCGATGGGATTAACTCCTTCTCCTGCTTGTGCCCTATGGGTTTCACTGGCCCCTTCTGCCTCCATGAGATCAATGAATGCAACTCTCATCCATGCCTGAATGAAGGGACGTGTGTTGATGGCCTGGGTACCTACCATTGTACCTGTCCCTTGGGCTACACTGGGAAAAACTGTCAGGTAATTACTTCCTCCTCGCTCACTCAAGACCAGGCGGTGTTTCGTTCTGTTGTACATAGGGTCACTGTGAGTCCGAACTGACTCGACAGCATCTAACAACAACACTCACTCAGCTCCCTTACAGTAGCTGAGTGATAGGCTCACTTTTTTTCTAGATAGACTCAGTCCCTCCTAAAAGAAAATTCTGGTCCCAGGGATGTCCCTGAAATAAATCTGGATGACTTCTTACTAGCTGGTAGATTCCAAAATGGTGACACTGATAAGATTATAGGGATTAACAAATCTAGGTAAGATTGCTAATAACAGGCTTACCAAGAACAGCAGAAAATAAGAGTGCGAAATAAGCACATAGATACCTTTTACACTGGGAACACAGAGAAATAAAGAAGAATTAAGATAATCTTTAAAGAACAGATACAGCATCTAAGAGGATAATAGTATCTTGTAATGTTGTAACATTCCCAAAACCAAAGATTCACACATCCTTTTAATTCAAATATATAAATATACCTTTTCATAGAATCTTAGGATTAGAAGGAGCACTCATAGGCAGCTACTCTAGCCTTTCATATCATGAAAGAAAAAACTTAGCCCCACAGGGGTGACATGTCTCTTTAGCAATGATGAAATATCAGAATTGCAAAGAATTTAGGAATAAATGGCCAAACTTGACTACAGGGTGCACTTCAATAAGGCTTTGGTTATATTGGACATGAAAGCGGTCACCTCTGTATTAAACAGCTTGTTGATTGATTCTGTGCATCAGGACAACATTCTTCATGAGCTCCTGCCCATTCTCACGGTGTGAGATTGGAGGTGCTGGCGAGGCACTCTGTCTTCCCCCTCGGACCCCTTCATTCAGCACATAGCCTCTGCTGTAAGTGTGGCCTTCCTTTCCCCAGAAGGCCGAGCCACCACCTACGAATCATGAAGGAGAAAGGTGCTAGTCCCCTCTCACTCTTTGCTTCATGTTTTTCATAAGCCTGGTTTTTTTCCCCTTCAGAATAACCTTTTGACAGTCTTAGGTTTATTAAGCAGTCTTTAAATGCTTTTACCCATATTCATCACAGATTGGTCAAGACAAGACCCCTGTGGATCTCTCACAGGATTAGCAGGGCAGCTTATCTGACAGCTTCCACTCGTTCTTTCTCTAGTCCCACAAAGCTGCCATATATCAACATGATCAAGTCTAGAGCATAGGGAAGAACTGAACTTACTGGGTTTCCTCAAATTATTAAACTTCTATGGTAAGAACTTTTAAAATAACAGAACTAAGAAGAATTAGGCTATGTAAAAAAACAGTTAAGTGTTTGGGTGCTAACCAAAAGGTTGGTGGTTCAAACCCACCCAGGGTGCGTAGGAAGACAGGTCTGGTGATCTGCTTTCAAAAGGTCATAGCCTTGAACACGTTTGGAGTACAATAGTACTCTGACACACATGGGGTTGCCATGAGTCAGAGTTAACTCAACGGCAACTTTGTCTTTTTAAAGGACTAAATATACCTGGGAACACTAGATGTAGTTTAAAATTTGGGTAAGGGATTTTTTTTATTTTTATTTTTATTAATTTGGTTAATTAGTGTGCTTTCCTTTGATTCCTTGAAACACAATGTAACTTATTTTCTTCATTTTTGGTATTTGGATTTTGATGTATGTGCACCCCTGCATCCATTTCAGACCCTGGTGAACCTCTGCAGCCAATCTCCATGTAAAAACAAAGGTACCTGCATTCAGGACAAAGCAGAGTTCCGGTGCCTGTGTCCCTCCGGATGGGCTGGGGCCTACTGTGACGTGCCCAGTGTCTCCTGTGAGGTGGCAGCCTCCCGCAGAGGTAAGCTCTGCCCCCTTGGGCTTGGGGGTCAAGTATTTACTCAAGTATTGACTGACCAGCACTGTTTTAGGATGAGGGTTATTATTGTGGGATAAGATAGTAGTGAATGGGCCACGCTCTGGAGAAAGGGCAGAGGACCAGGTTTAGTGATTCCAAAACAGACTTGTATTTGAAATGAAGCTAAGATGTATTCCACTTTCAGGGTTTGTTTATTTTTAGCAGGAATCTGGTGGTGAGGCTTGTAAGCTAGAAAAGAATAAAATTTCATGTGTTGACTGGCTTAGATTAGCTTGCTCATTACTCAGTCTGACCCTGATGTGTGCCATGTGCTCTTCGGTGATGTTTCTTCCCCCACTGGGTTTCCAGGGCTGCCTGTCGACCGTCTGTGCCAGCACTCTGGGATCTGCATCAGTGCCGGCAACACGCATCACTGCCAGTGCCCTATGGGCTACACTGGGAGCTACTGCGAGGAGCAGCTGGACGAGTGTACATCCAATCCCTGCCAGCATGGAGCCACCTGCAGTGACTTCATTGGTGGATACCGATGCGAGGTGAGCCGGATAGGGCAGGGGCATACACCACAGGGGCTCCTAGAAGATTGTGCATCTGCTAGGAATACTAGTACATTGACTTTAATAGCTAAAGTCTTATTTTTCTAGTTTATAGATTTTTATCAATCACCCTTTTAGTGTTTATCAATCACTGTGTCTTACTGCCTCCCTGTGAAATGTTAACATAGCAGAGTTCTGGTAAGATATTTTTATAGAGATCTGGAGCCATCTCACCCCACAGAGGATTGCTTTCTAGGATTCAGAGCCAACATTCATTACAGAGGGAATTTCACAGGCCCACCCACCCCAGTGGCCCCTGGCGCTTCCCTGAATAGCAGCTGAGGTAGGAGTAGTCACTTTGAGGAATGTTTCCTTGACCCATGTCACCTTTGTATACAGCCATTGATTAATCAACTAATAACACTTTCAACAAAAGTGTTGCTCAGCTTGTTCTGCTAGCACCATGGTAAGTGTTACATGTGTCTATATGAGGAAGTGTGGGTCTTTTGAGGGACATGTCACTGTCTTTTTAATGTTCAAACAGATAATGGTTAGAGTAAGACATTAACAAAACTCCAGAGACATGAATTGGATACCAGTTCAGTACATCAAGCAACTCGGAGAACATAGAGAAGCTTTGTTTCTCTATCACAGCCAGCCAGCCAGCCCACCTCCCCCTGCCCCCACTATAGCAACCAGTGTCTCACATGTGCGTGCAATTTCCTGAACCTGGAGCTAAAGAAATGTACCCTCCTTACTACCAACCACATGCACCATGACTGATCAGTAGGGTCCTCATCACATACAAAGGAATATGCATATTTTTTAAAATGAGGAAGCCTGCTTACAGGAGGGATAAAAGTTTTGTGCAAAGGTCATATCTGAAACATCCCTCAGAATATTCAGTCCTTGCCTTCCTTTAAAGTGGCTTCTTCAGCTGGAAGAGGAACAGGTAAATGCTGACAAGCTGCAGGCTGACCCTGCATAGCCTGGAGTGTGATGCTGGGAGCATGATGACCTTAGCAGCCTAGTGGTGCAGTGGTTAAGAGCTGTGGCTGCTCACCATAAAGGTCGGTGGTTGGAACCCACCAGCAACTGTGTGGGAGAAATATGTGGCAATCTGCTTCTATAAAGATTTACAGCCCTGGAAACTTATGGGGCAGTTCTACTCTGTACTATAGAGTCGGTATGAGCCAGAATCAACTCGACAGCAATGGGTTTGTTTTTGGTTTGGTGATGATTCCACAGAAGCATACAAGAGCTAAGAGGGGGTCATAGGAACGTCTGGATCCCACTTGGCCTAGTGCTGTGTTTCTAACACTGGTTCAATATTCCTTGTCCTTTTCACTTCCACCTGGCAGTGTGTCCCAGGATATCAGGGTGTCAACTGTGAATATGAAGTGGATGAGTGCCAGAATCAGCCATGCCAGAATGGAGGCACCTGTATCGACCTTGTGAACCATTTCAAGTGCTCCTGCCCTCCAGGCACTCAGGGTATGAAATCTGCCTTACCTGTCCCCGTCCGGGTCATTCTCTAGTTATAATTCCATGCTTATGTTGAAGAGCTTTCAAAAATGAAAGACAGTAGGACTAGCTGCATTCCAAGCATTTAGTTCTCTATCTGGTAGTTCAAACCATTTCCACACAGAAGTTTTTTATTTTTAAAGAGGTTGACTTTATCAATCTGTTTATGGCTTCCAGATTTTGAATCCTAGTTAGCAACACCTTCCACACTCCAAGATTATAAAGGAATGATCCCATATTTTCTGTAAATACTACAGTACTGGAGTACTTTTTCTGTGTGGCTAAGGATTTGTCCCAACACAATTTATTGACTGTTCGATCTTTTTAGCCAATGATTTGAGATGGCATGTTTATCAAATTCTAAAATTCCCATGTGTCTTTTGGTGTTTTTGTGAACTTTCTTTTTTGTTCTATTAATTCACCGGTACCACTATGTTGTAATTATTAAGTATCTTCTTTTTCATGGTTTTCCTGAAAAATTTTTTTTTTTCTAAAACTTTAGAATCAACATGTCTATTAAAAATGCTATTGGCATTTTTTTTATTGAAATCACGTTAACTTTATGAATTAGAATAGAGAGAACAGACATCTTTATGAAGAAGAGTCTTCCTAACCTAATCATGGTGTGTCTTTCCATTTATTCAAGTCCCCTTTTGTGTCTTTCAGCATTATTTAAATCTGTCTGCATATAGGTGTAGCACATTTTTTTTTTTTTTTT